GAGCTGCACTCGTGGTGTGGCCTGGAGTTGCTACTTATCATCCACTGTTGTCTCACTTTCACTGGATTCGCAAATTTTTGTCATTCCATTTATGACCCCTCAGAATACTTTCATCATACATGGAGATAGTGGCTGGAAACAGATAACAAAAGTTAGTACAAGCAAAAAAAAAAAAAAAAAAAAAGCAAAATCATTGCATTTCTCTGGAAAATAAGCAGGATGGGTCTGCAGTCATGAACTGGGAACTGGAAGCCAGGAACAGCGAAATCTCTCTTCGGGGTTTGGAATTGGACTTGGTGTGGTGTCACCATTCATAGAGGATTAGCTCCTAAAGAAACAGCAAAGATAGCAAACGAATGTAACCACAATATGAGACGATGACTTGAACCCACTTATGATTGCTGCAGCTAACCAAACAACAGAAACTAGCTGTGAAGATGTGTCAGAAACAAGTACATATCACCAGAAATTGCCTGTCATGGAGGACGAATCACTGCTGCTTCTCCACATGCGGCCACAAGAGGGCGCAAGTGCACCGCTGTGATGGCCCAGAGGGCTCTGAGCTTGCTTGACAATATCCCTGAGTCCTGGGGGATGCTGTACAGCAGTGTCAGGGATGCAGCGTCCCCTTTCATAGCTGATCCGTTTCGTGCAGGAATAATTTTGCCTGTTTTCCCAAAAGACCTCGTGTCCATAGCAAAGATCACTCAGGACAGACTCAGAGTAATCCGATCAGGGAAGTTTGGCTAAAACTAGTGCTCTGTCACCTGCTCTGAAAAGGGGAGCATTTGTGAGCCGGAGGAGACGGTCTTCCAGGGAAATACACCTGAAGAGTCACCCTCTAACGAAAAGAGGAGACCTGCGGCGCTGAGTTGTAGGCAAGCGAGCCGGCGCTCCTACTGTGGGTACCACAAGGCTGAAACCCTGCACGTCTGCCCTACGCCAGGTGTGCAGATCGGACTGAAGTCTTCTCACAGCATCTTCTCAACTTGTCTGCAGCATTAGAGCTGCCAGGAGCTCGACTCCAGCTCCTCAGGGACTGGGCACAAACCTCCCAGTATAACTAAAGGACAGTGAACAACAGTGCCAGTTTAGCATATTTGTAGCCATGGTGACATTCATGAAAGAAAAAAAAAAAAAAAAAACTGGCCAAAGAGCTGTTACTTAGTACACAATGAGAAATCATAAAGATGTGAATCACTTTTCTTCGGATAGGAATCCTGGAAGATCATGTCTGACATGTTACATTCATCCATAAGTCATGACCTGACCAACCTGGGTCCATGCTGAGCTCAGCCCAGGCACAGCTCATTACAAGTCACACGGAGGTAGCCTGTGGCCCCAGATCAGGCTGACGGGCCGGGATGAGCTGTGGAGGTGCCGTCTTGGGTCTGTATCTGATCCCTGGCCCACAGCCTCCACGTTTCCTCTGCGGTTATGTGGCTTTAATCACACCAGCTCCGTAACGCATGATGCAACTACTTGTGGCAGCTGCTGTGGACTGAACTCTCTGAAGCTGTGAGTTAAATATTCCTATCCTCCTCTAAGAAGTGCAAAAGTTCTCTCCCAGGAGTTGGAAAGCTGAGAAATATGCCTGGTATTAGACTCTTTCACCATATCAGTGATTTTTTTTTTCTTTTGTATTGTAAGGAAGGGGCTACAGGGTGTTCAGGATCTCACTACTAGATCGGACTCCTAGTGATCCTCCTGTTTACAGCCTCCCAAGAGCTGGGAATACAGGCACGCCCCACCACACACAGTCTCAATAGCTGTCTCAGCTCGCCCTGGGGGCAGGGTGGGCACGGCAGGCCCTGGGATAGAACTGGCCCATGGGTCTGCTTGTAGGGGCTTAAATCCTCTGAGCTATTTGGCTGGCCCATATCAGTGAATTGTAATGCAGGAAATGGGCAGGCTATTTTCATGAAGTGTGGGCAGCACCTGAGAACAATGACTGAGCACTGAGTGTTGTTTATTGGGGGACGTCCTCAGTGCTGGTCACGAGGGATCATGTTCCTGTCTCCTGTCTTAAACATGGAAACTAGGTGCTGTGTGAGAAATATACAGCGTAGGAAAACCTTAAATCTTGATGACTGCCACCTGCTCAGGACCTCCAAATTAAGTCAAACAACGTGTACCCTGGATGTCTTCATCGTGAGGCCAACCCTGGGTGCCCTGCGCCTCCCTGAGCTGGCTCCTGATTTCTCTCTCAAGCAGTATCATATATTGCATTCCTCCACTGTGACCTCCTTCAGTCTAAGCAAGACAACAGCTTTCTTACCTGCTGTATTCCTATGGAAGCAGGCTGCAAGGCCGGCCCCTTGGAAGGCAGGAAAAACTTAAACACGCTGTGAATGTGACTTAGTTACAAAACACACCCCTCCCCATCTGCGAAGGCAACACTTTTCTATGAAAAGAAATTCCCATGATGTCAGTACTTGAGTTATCACGGATCTATGATTTGCTCTCATGATTTCATTATTCTTCTCTGCACCCTTTCAAAACCAATAACATTTCTATTGCTGCCTATAGTCCTGCGCTAAGTATTTGCCGCAAAGGTACTGCTTCAACTCAGGCCAAATAGCTCTATGCGTGTTATTTTCTTCACATTCTTGTATTTGAGGTACAGTACCTAACACCCCCAACTAAGAGAAGAGAAGCTTACTTGGGCTTCAGGTTGCAGAGCTTGCAGCCCTGAGCCAGCCCGCTGCAAGGAGGGCAGCCTGGCGGAGGAGAAGCAGCTCGCAGCTTGCAGGCAGAGAGCAGAGAGTGATCAAGGGAGGAGAAAGGGGGACAGGAGCTTTCATGCCATGACCCAATGAGCCACCTCCCCCAACAGCCTTCTCCTCCCAAGTGACATTCAGCTTAAGCTTAACCAGGTGGAGCAATCCAGTGATGTGGATGCGGTTCCCAAGATCAAAGACTCCCAAAAGCCCCACAGGATGGGTACTGGAAGGGGACATCCAGACAGAAACCACAAAAGGGCCACTCACTGTGCCCATGACCCACAGCATGGACAGAATCAGAAAGACAGGGAACCAACAGATTCCCCGCCACTGTGCCCCTTGAGAAATGAGCTCGCCCGTCGTGTCAGTGCTGCTGTTTATCTGGGTCAGAGCTTGATCATAACCAGCACACACGTTGGTGACAAGGATCACTGGTCTGACACAATCTGCAGAAAGAAAACTTACACACATTTAGAAAGCAAAAGATTTTTAATTTAATATCTTACAACAGAACGCTCTTCTCCACCTATTTCATATATTTTCTCTTTTTGCAATATGTGCTCTTTTTGAGATAGTATTTGGTTAAGTTGCTAAGTTGACCATGTGAGATTCATCCGTACAAGGATCTTCAGGGCATTAACCACAAACAAACACATAATCTTATCTGAGGCTGTTGGTGTACGTATTGGAATAATCATGTGACTTTTATTTTTTCTTTTCAGCTTGTCTCATTCTGACATCTGCTGATTTGCTTATCGTGGAGCATCTCCGCATCCTGCAGTGTGACTCGAGTGATCGTGCTCTGTAACATCCTAAGGTGGCACTTAAGACTGTAGTAATTTAGTGGAAAACTTTAAATCAAGATTTAGTTCAAAGGACGGGCATCTAACCCAGTGGCATAAGCACCTGCCTGACAAGCGCAAGGTCCTGAGTTCTATCCAAGGTACTGAAAACAAAAAACAGCCCACTATTTAGAGCTGGCAGAACAGCTCAATGCATTAAGTGCCTGCCTAGGCAAGCTCAGACCAGGGTCTGATCCTCATTACCCATGTCATGTCGACTGGGCTCCAGGGCCTACTGAGCCAGTGACCGAGTCCAGGCATGGTGGTGCCTGGCTGTAATCTCAGCACTGGGGAGGCTGCAAACCAGAGGATCTCTATGAGTCCAAGCTGCATAGTGAGACCCCATGACAAATACATTAAAACAACAACAACAAAGAAAATCACTTCACTGTTTTCTTTATTGTTGTTATCTGACTTTGAGACCAAAATGATCCCCACATTGTAGGATGAACCTGGAAGATTTCCTTCTATTTCTATTTCAGGGAACAGTTTGAGGAGCACTTGGGTGAGCCCTGTGAACGTGATGTAAACGTCAATGACATGATTGCCAGCCTGGGGGCTCCCTGAATCCCTGCTGGGCAGTGGCTGCCCCACCCAGGAGACACCTAGGAGCAGAGAGGAGATGTAGGGATTCAATGAGCCCCTGGAATTTTAAAATCTTCTTTCATGAATTTTCCTTTTGTTTCAGGACCTACTTTTTATTGTACTGTGACTTGTGATTTTGCTGATTAGAAATCATGGAAACTGGAATTGCTTATGGCCCTTCTACCTCATTACAGTCCCTGAGAGTCCTGCTGACGCTTACTACATGAAGACTGTCAGGGAGCCTTGGCAAGCAAATGACTCCTGTTGTCAATTTTAATTACCAGGACTTCAGACAGGGAACCTATAAGCAACCAATCCTTGGTATTTCTTGGGGTGCAGCCAGCAGGTCCTCCTGAATAGGGAAAAATAACAGAAAATTTGATGATCACCTAAGAGAGGAAAACACCAGTGTACTCAAAGGAATAGCTGAGTGACTTTGTCCTCTGTTCCCCAGGGAGCAAATCCACTACAAACAAATCTCTATCCACGTGGTCTCCTCTGGGCCACATGACTCCTGTGCCTGTCCAGAGTCCCTGAGAGAAGCCATCCCTGCATCTGTGCCCACCCTGCCCACCCCTACTCATTTGCATGTGCCAGAGCCCAGCCCAGCCCTGAGGATTCTTCATAGGCTGCCCACACCCCTGGCAGGAGTCAGTCCCAGGCAGAACACAGCATGGCCATGAGGGTCCCCGCTCAGCTCCTGGGGCTCCTGCTGCTCTGGCTGCCAGGTGAGGAGGGGCAGCCCTGGGATTTCCTCAGAACTGCATGGTAGGAACAAACTGGGTCTTTGGGACATTCTTTACTACACCCATAGTTATCAAAATATCTGTCTTTGTGTTTCCACTGTCAGGTGGCAGATGTGACATCCAGTTGACGCAGTCTCCATTTGTGTTGGCTTCTTTGGGAGAGAGACTCACCATCACGTGTCGAGCCAGCCAGGGCATTAGCAAGAGTTTACATTGGTATCAGCAGAGAGCAGGGCAAGCTCCCAAACTCCTGATCGGTTATGCAACCACTGTGCAGTCTGGGGTCCCAGCCAGGTTCGGCGGCAGTGGGTCGGGGACAGATTTCACTCTCGCCATCAGCAGCCTGGAGCCTGAAGATGCCGCCACTTATTACTGTCAGCAGGGTTATAATCGGCCTCCCACAGCGATACAAGCCATGACATAAACCTCCCAAGAAGCAGAAGTGTGAGGCTGGCCCACCCAGCTGCTCTTCCTGGGGCCTGCACCTGATAAGCGTGTCTCTTAGGTGAAGCCAGGCTTTGGAGGCTTAGGAGAAACCCCCAGCAGGGTCCTCACCTGGCCTTTTCTTTGTCCTCCCGGGCTCCATCAACACACACGTGAGGATGCTTCTCATAATTCAATGAAGGACACAGTCATGCAATTCAGGACTATGGATTAGAGAGAGACTAAAGATTCATATAGCAAATAGCCAGAAATGCAAACTATTTCAAACACAAATATATAATAAAAGTAATAAAATACATAGGCTGGAAATTTGAGCTTCTTTCAATAACGCAGCAGTATGGAAGTGAAAGGGACATAAAGAAACAAAACACAGAATGAGTTAGGCATTGAGGTGTTTCCCTGCAATCACAGCAGTAAGAGGGCTGAGGACGCAGTTGTCACAACTCCAAAGCTAGGCCTGGATACACACAGATGCTGAAGCCAGTCTAAGCTACACAGCGACAGCCTGTCTCAAAAACGAAGCAGAACAAACAAAAACACAACGACAGCAACAGTAGATTGTGCAAAGAGTGATTCTCATTCTTCAGACGATCAAGAGAACCTGCAGCATAAATTTCAAGCAAGAATTAGTTTTGTAAAAGTAAAAACAATGTTTGCAACAATACTAAGATCCAAATTTTATACCTATGAAAAAACTAGTTATGAAATTCAATTCAGTTAATGAGAATCTCTTTACAGTCAATGACTTTATGGAAGGCTTTATATTTATTTAAAATTAAATATTAAAAAATATGCAACTCTGATATTTTTCTTTTGTTGTACAATGAAATATTTGAACCTCTGTTCATTATAAAAAAAGGAAGAGCAATAAAATACCTCACAGGATCAAACACAAATATATATATATATATATATATATATATATATATTATAATAAAATATATATGCGTAGGCAGCTTTTGGGGCTGGGGTTCAGTCCCAGCCTGCCATGCTGGCCCCACCCTTGGGACATGCTGAGACAGCAATTGACACTGGTCTTGGTGGCACATGCCTGTAACTCCAGCGCTTGGGAAGCTGAAAAACATGAAGGATCACTATGAGTCTCATCTATGTAGTGAGACCCTGTGGACCCTGTACTAAATTTATAAAAAAGATAGATTCGTTGCATTCCATGTTGGAGGTTCCAGGTTGAAGACTCTGCAGGTCCACGGTCCTGTCTTCTGGTAAGGACGCAGCCCTCACTTTCACAAGGTGCCGTGTAAACTGGAGGGAAACCAGCTGTGTACTGCAGCAGCCAAGCCTGGTACGTGGCCTCACTTCCTCATCCCTCCCTCTCATTTAGACCAGCCCACTTGTGAGAGCCGCACTGATCCCTCCCAGAGGCATCACTGGCAGTGACTTCACCGGCTCCTGCCAGGGCCCAGCACTTACCGGCTCTCTACCTCTTCGGTGGCTCCGGTGAGAACCCAGCTCCAGGCAGAAGTCCTGTTGGACAAGCAACATTCAAATCTTAGCACTTCTTACCATAATTTTATTAATGCAAACCGAAATTGGGAATATTTTCAAGCTCCTATCCTTTCCTAAGGATGGTATATTCTGATATTTGACCATAGAATGATCCAATATTTGCCCTTGTGGGTCAATTTGTCATTTTGTTTTCTGATGTCAGTGACCCTGAGAGTGTTGGGCCCAGGACATGTTTGCTACTTAGTGTTTGTCCCTGATGAAACAAGATCTGGAGATGAGATGCGAAGGCTGTGATAGACACGTGGCATCGAGCTCTGCCGTGTAGCCGGACCAGGAGGGTGAAGGTGTGGGAGTGGGACCGACGGGCCCAGTGTTCTCACTCATGGATCTCGGAGGGGCTGTGGATCAACAACAGATCTCCCCATCTGCCCCTTTGTGTCGCTGTTTATTTAAGATCTGTAACCTTAATATCATTACTCAGTACTCAATTCGTGAAGATCTTGAAAAGTTCAAAATAAGCAATAGTTGAGCAAGAGTAAAATTTGTATCCCCCTATCTTCATGTTTATAATGTACACGTGGGTGCATCGATTATCCTGATGGGTTATTGGCTCCAAATACACAGATATACATGCCTTTTTGTCTCTGTTGAATTTTTAGGTTAGTTCTATCATTTCTTTGTGTTTCTGGACTCTTTCTGGACTCTTTCTTACTTTTTTGCTCTGACGTCTGTCAGGCATTTGTGTTTCACCGACATCACAGCGCTGCACTGCTCCAGGATTTCCTGGAAGGAGGGCCACCGCAGGGTGCAAGCTCCAAGGGTCACGGCCCACGCTTCCTCGTCACAGAGCAAGTCAACAAGGGACGGATGTGTCGCTGCAGGATGCTTGGGGTCACAGCTGAGAAGGGGCACAGTAGCTGAGAATCAGCGACCCTGGTGGCTGGCACCATTGTTATGGTGCAGCAAATATTCATCAAGAGGAAGTCATCTTTTTTGGGTGGGAGGGGGTTGTAGTTGTTTCTGGGTGCCTTATTATTGTCACTCCCACTCTGCATGCTCCAGCCTTTGTAAGTAAAGTTGTGGCCTCTCAGAATCGTGTCTTCATGCCACACAGACAAGGACTGGCAACAGAAAGCAAAAGTGTTTGCAAGGGTGGAGTTAGTGAATTTCTCTGGAAAGAAGCAGGTTGCCGCTACTGTTTCTAAACTGGTATACTGTGCGCAATGAACAGGAAAATACTAGGGAGTGGGATTCCAGACTCATAAATTATTAATTTTGAACTAAATGCCTCAGGTATCAAACTAATGTTACCCTCATAGCATACATTACCTGCAACCGTTTTATGATTGTGGTATCTAACCGCACAACAGAAAATAAGGATGGAAATGTGTCAGACAAGACCTATCACTAGGAGGAGATGGCTGTCAGGAGCAGGAAGCTTCCCTGGTGCTTTTGCACACGTAGCCACAGGAGGAATGAGGTGCAAAACAAAGATAGCAGAGAAAGCAAAATAAGTGTGATTCTTTCCAATGATAGTATTATTTATTATTTATTTCTTATGTTTTAAAGTATTTGGTACAGGGACTTGCTAGATAGCTAGGACTCATAGTGATCCTCCCATCTCAGCCTCCATAGCACTGAAATTACTGGTGTGAGCTACCACACCCAGACTCCCTGGCCTGGCTCTGTGCACCTGCGGGCGGTTCCAGTGAGCATGTGGTGCCTGAGATTGAACCCCAGTCCCTGAGCTTGCCTAAGCAGGTGCTTAGCCAACCGAACTATCTTGTTGGCCCTACTCCACCTTGTAAAACAAATAACATTTTCCCTGCTGCCTAAAATCCTGCTCGCTCGGAATATCCACCCCAAAGGTCCTTCCATGCTTGAGGGTAAACTGGCCCCTGCGTGTTGTTCTAACTATGTCCATGTATATGAGACACAGTATTGGACACCCACAGCTCAAGGAAAGAAAAGTGTATTTGGGTTCTGTGGTGCAGAGGCCTCAGCCCTGAGCCAGCTGGTTCCTGGGAAGGCAGCCTGGAAGAGGAGAAGCAGCTCAGGGCCTGGCAGGCTGGAAGCAGAGAGCAATCTAGGGAGGAGGGCGGGGACGGGAGCTTTCAGACCGCACCCCCGTGCGAGTCAGGCTTCACCTCCTGAATCATATTCCTCTTGAACTCAACCACGGAGACGCAATGCAGGGATGAGGATGGGGTCCTGTGATCCAAACAGTCCCAGAATCCCCATAGGTGGGATAAACCACAACATGGCCACTGTGTATCCTCTGTTCAAGGACGGGGAACAAGCAGAGGCACTGCAAATTCTGTCCCCTTGGGAATAACCTCATATGTAGTGTCACTGCTGCTGTTTATCCAGGTCATAGTTTGATCACTTCCAGCATGCAAACCAGTGACAAGGATCATTTCTCTGACACACTCTGCACAAACAAATGGGACACACATTGAGAAAACAGATCTTTTCATATAATATTTTAGCACAGAAAAAATATTCTCCGTGTCTCATTTTTCTCTTCCTTACTGCATATTGAACCTAGGTTACTTGCACTGAGGAAAATCCCAGTACTTTTCATATTTTCTTTGGGACAGCATATAGCTAAGCTGCTAAATTGGCCAGAGGAGATTCTTCTATATAGGTTTCTTTGGGGAACTTATTGAGAAGAAAATAGATTTTTGTCACATGCTTTTGCCACACCTACAGAAATAATAATGCAACTTTTGCTTTTCTTTGTACTTTTTCTTTTTCTCATCCATGTCAATATGCATGTGTTGAACTATTTCTGTAGTCCTGGAAGGAGACCACACTGATCATATCCCATAAGCAAGGCAAAGCACTGCCATTTCAGGATATTTGTAGCAATGGTGACATTCAGGAAACACAAATGAGCGAAAAGAGCGATTTTTCAGAGTACAATGAAAAATCACAATGTGTTTATGTCAGGTGTAAATCCTCTAAGATGATGTATGACATTTTATATTCAGCCGTAAATCAAGACCTGCCCACCCCGAGTCCATAGTTGGGCCGGCCCCAGGCACCGTGCACTCTTGGCTGCAGCAAGCAATCTTTCTGCAGGAAGCCTGTGACTGCAGGTCAGGTAGGTGCTCGCAACCTTGAGTTGCAGATGAATACGTGTGGGTTGGCAGCCTGTACTTGGCATGAAGTAAGATAGCTCTGAACCTGCCCACCCAGAATGAAGATACTTAGAAATGTTCCTACAGGATGGTCTTAGTGTGTATTCCCAGCACCCCAGGGAGTGACCCACCTTAGTACTGCTTGGGCCTGGAGGAGTGTCAAGGGCAGGCTTGTCTCTACCCAGGTCCTCGCCCCTGCCCGCCACTGGGCTGTCCTCTGCTCTCCTTCCCAGTTGCCGT